GAAAGGCAGGCCTCCTTATTTTCACCTCAGATTTAAAGGTGAAAAGCCATGTCACTCAGTGACACAATTTTCAGGATACAATATTGAAAAGCTATCAATTTTATTCATAGAAAAGCATGGGTAGATCTGACTTCTTATGAAAGCTGATCCTTTTATTTGTCTGACCTCTGATTTAATTTTATTTCTACATTGTTAACCTGAATAAATAATTTCATTCAGCCTGCAATTGTGCACATTTTGTTCTGTCTGGCCTTTCTTGAGAAATGTTATGGAATAGAAGATGGAAGCAACTTGCTCATGCCTACATGGATGTGGAGGCACAGTCTGCTGATGTAATGAACCTTCAGACTTACTGTATTTGATTGCTGTGTTTGATACTAATTTGCATTTCTATTAAATTTATTTTCATATAAATTATATATATATATAGGCACACACTACTAAGCTAAAATATATTTTTCTTACTGGATATCCTTCTCTCTGAATTTAAACATGGCATTGCCAAAAAAGTTAGTTACAGCTGATAAAAAAAGAAGTAAAAATGGAAAAAAGAGAATGTTAAAAAAATTTATGATCGTCATTATTTTGTGGTAGCTTAAGTTACAGTTGCACAAACATGGAGACATAAATAGACAATTCGGGAAATCAGATTTTCTAATTGGGTGTATTTCATAAACGGTAGAAGTGTAGACCAAGCTAAAGAATTCCTTCCTTTCTCTCCCTCCTCATGAGTACAAAATTTGAGAATAAAACCCAGGTTTTCTGCCACTCCAGTGCCTTCATTCCTTTTCTCTACAGTGAGCTGTCACCACGTGCAGGGGTGATGTGGTTCCAGCAGGACCTGGGCCAGCCACACGAGGCCTCTGAGCAAAAAAAATACTTTTTTGCTATTATGTAGTAAAACACATTTATAGTTCCTGCCCCCATTATTTGTATTTTAAACTCATATACTATATTTCAAAGAAATAAAGTGAGGGATTTGAAGAAAAAGCTTCATATGTAACAATTTAGTTTTCCATTTATTTAGGAAAGGTTAGTGTCTTTAGTATAAAAGATAATTCAGCAATCCAATTAAAGTATTATTGACTTGTTATGCCATTACACAGTGGAAAGATTGACTATGGGCTATTTTAATTAAAATTATTTATTCATGTCATGTTGTTGTTTGGGTGTTTTTTAAAATTAACTTGTCAGATGATGAAAAGGTGCTGAACTTGCAGGCAGAAGACAGTGTAAAAAAAAAGCAGGTAAAAGAGGAAATCAGTATTCTGATTCATTAAGAAGAAATATATTCTGTAGGGATACAACACTTCCTCTTTGTATATCTAACAGGGGCAATCCATGTAAGATAACTCACTGAAAAAAAATCCAGCAAATTATATTGTAGGTTTTTTTGTGAAGAGCACAGACACCTGAAATTATAATAAAGTTAATTACTACTGGGTCTGGAATTCTAACTTATCTGTCAAATGATGAGCTTCTCCACTTTGTATTGCATGTCTTAGCCTAGGTGAAAATCCCAGGAAAAGAACGTGTTATCTTTGAAGTTGTGGCCAAGAAAATATGCACTAAATTACAGAGATTGAACAAGCTGGGAAAAATCCATTCTGTATCTGTTGCCATCTGATAGATGGGAGAGGGAGTAGATGAAATATTTAAAAATATTTTTCCCCAATGGTATTTTTTATTATCAGTCTTGTATCTTCAGGATTAACAGTTCATTAATCATGGACACAAGGATACATTATGGTCCAAATTTATATCAGATCTCCCACACCACATGAAGTGAAATTCACATGTGCATTCAAAAATTCACATTTTCGTTACCAACTGTTATCTAAAAAACATTGTTATCCAAATCACATTTGCAGTAAAGATTAAAGTTGCAAAGGTCTAAGGACCAAAAGGCCTTTGTCCACAGAGGTATTTTTAAGCTCAAGTGACTTATGATAATAGCAGTGCTTATTCTAGTGAGATTAGAGAAAAAAAATTATAGCAAAATAGCTGTAACAGATATTGTGATTCTGATGAGTAATAGACTAAAAATTCCTAGCATGGACTGAAATATTATCTACCAAATACTTTTGAAAATAGTAGAAATAAAAACTTTTCCTTTGCATGTTGGAATTGTTTCTCGAGAAATAAAGTTAGACTACAATTATTTTAATCAGAATTTTTTTTTGTCAATATCATCTACTAAATTAGTTATTTATACAGTGTCAGCAGTGCACAAAATGTTTGAGTTCTTCACCTTGTGGAATGAGGGGGTAGTAAAGAATAACTTTTTAAGTCAAGATAAAATATGTTGCGTAAAGTAGCTTTCTATCCATCAAGAAATTTACAGCTTATGTTGTGACAGTCCTTAAACAACAAACTGTCTTTAAAAGCTCTTAATATTTGCTGCTTTGCTTTTATTACACAGCTTCAATGTAACAAGCAATACTTCTGTGTTTCTGTCCATTGCAGCTGTTGTCTGTAGATGATCAGTAGACTGGCTTGACACTTGTACTAGAAACAAGTGACCAAATCAAGGCAATATAATGAAGCTGGGTCGCTCAAACCTTTCCAAGAAGTCAAATCAGTTTTCTATTTTGAAGTGAAAAATACATATGTTTTTAACTAGTATTGTAAGCATTAGAAAATATTGTGAATAGAATTCTCACAAGACCCCGGCACCAGTGAAGTCAATGAGGAAAAACCCACCAACTAAATTAAACATTTCTGGACTCTAATGCAACTTTCTTGAAATTCATATAGCTATGAAACTGTCGATGAGGTGACAGGTCTACATTTTCCTTTCTATGTACACATATTTATTTTACTTACTCTAGGGGATTTGTGAGCCAGACTTCATTCAGCATGTTCCAAAGAACTATGCACTGGCTTCCCTAATAGAGACATTATCTTTGTTCTTATTTCCATTTGTATTTTTCCCTTATAATAAATTAATCATCCAAACTGAAATATATCTCTGGGTTTTAGAGGTTTTTAGTTGGCTGCTTGTCACTGGTTTTGGTTTCAGTGTGTTTACAGCTATTACATTTTATAAGAACATATAGATGCAAGATCTCTCACAAGAGAGTTTTTATCACATTATGTTTCCATTTCAGTTCCCAATACAGAGAGCTGAGTCATGAATACATATCCAACGAAAAAATAAACTTCCAAATATGTCAGAGATCAGCAGAAAGTACCAGGGTATTTCATACACACCGTCTTGATATCTTTAAGGTGGTATTATGTTAAATCCCCTCAGAGGTGTCTTAAATTAGGGTTTTCCAAACAGCCTCAGGGTACAGGGAACTGTTGCCTGTTTTTTTTTTAGTTTCTCTTAGATATATTTGGCTTAACTTCAGAAGACCTTATTTTTGCTTTAGAAGTCCCATGACCCTAAATGTTATGTCAAAGGTTATTCTTTTGGTTTTTTAATCTTACAATTACTAGCTAAAAATTCAAAACATCTTAAAATGAATTCACTTTTGGATTCCTGATTTGTGAGAAGTGTTTGAAGTATTTATAAGATAGGTGCACACTAAAATATATCACTTGTCAATGTAACATTAAATATATATTTTATATATTTTTTATTTCTGATGATTTTGCCTCATGTCTGCTGTTGTTATTACTACTACTACTATTATTACTATTACTATTACTATTACTATTACTATTGCTATTGCTATTGCTATTGCTATTACTATTACTCTTACTCTTACTCTTACTCTTACTCTTACTCTTACTCTTACTATTACTATTACTATTACTATTACTATTACTATGATTATTTAACAATAGGAACTTCAGTATATCTTGAAAAAGTCTAGGCTGATCGTATAACAGATTATAAAGATGTGAAAGCTTAAATCCCTTGCATGTTTTAGGAATTATATACTAATACAAGCTGGTGCATTAAAAGTGTTGAAGAAGTCAGGCATAGGGTAGTCCTCAGCCTCCCACACACTGATTTGTCAGTGTGATCCATCAGGGCCAATTCTGTGGCAGAATAAAGGCTCTTTCTTTGATTCTACAATCATACCACTAATGCAACAGTTAAATATAATCAAAGCATTTAAACCTTTCATATATTTTTATCATTGCATTGCAACATTTTCCTTCAGGCACTATACAATAAAGTGCGCGCAATACCTACCCTGAGGAAACTGCTATACATAATAGCAATTTTGTCTAATGTAGTTGTTTTTTCTTTTTTTTTTCTTTGTTTTGCTTTTAGTTTTTTGCTTGTTTGCTTTGTTTTTGTTTTGTTTTTTCTTTTGATTTAAGCAACATTTTTGCCTTCACATTTAATAGAACTTCTAAGGATAGAAAAAAGTGACATTTAATTTTCTTGGCTTTGGCTACCACATTGTTGTGTCTACATAGGCATGCACTCATCTAGAGCTGCTCACACCCACACTTCCACCCACCCACAAATCTAATCACAGTGTTTTAAAATAAAATAATTTCTTGCTGCCTAACCACAGAGGCAATACTTCCAACTTATTTGGTTCACCATGAATAAAATACATGGAATACTCCAGTAGGGAATTTTTTTGTTAAAGTTAACATTATTTAAAACCACAGTATTTAAGCTTCTGGTAATAGAGTTATGTTGCCTTCATTGTGATTCTGTGGCAGTGTTAGCAGAATTTGAGTTCACTGAGTTCATAAGTCAAGATCATGAAGCACTGCAGACCAAATGTGCTAATCTGCTCTGGAATGTTGCCTCATCCCATCTGAAAAATCTGTATTTGTGTTGAAGACATAACAAACAGACGTTCTACTTTCAGACTCACTTGAAGTATTTTAAATACTCATCATGCTAGGGGTCTCATTTATCATCTATACATTTAGATACTAAGTTTATGTATGTACAATTTAATATAGCATTTAGACACTCGAGATTTTCATCTCTTGCCTCTCCACTCAAGAATTCACAGAAATCAATCACCTTTCATTTTTTTTCCTATTTATTTTATTTTTATTTTATTTCCTTCCTGCAGGGCCACTGCTTTTGCTTTAAAACTGAGAATCAGAGTGTATGAGCTAAAGCCAAACCCCACAGTTGGAGTGCTTTTAAGACCTGGAACAAGTTAAGATGTATGTTTTCTAATTTATGAAAGAGGCAAAGAATGACAGACAAAGAAAGGCCAGGATAAAGAGAGGATACAGAGAGGATAAAGAGAAACTGCCTATATGTAATTATGATGTAAGTATGTAGTTACAAACTGAGAGGTTTTTCAGACATTATGTGATATTTGCCATTCCCACAAAAGAAGAAAAGATAGCACTTTAACAATGTTTAGAGAAGCTGAGATATTTTGCATTAAATAGAAATTCTTGCTGTACACCCCTTTATTTAATATCTCTAATAAACCACTTTCAACAATGGTGTTTGGCTATAATCTTTATCAGCTTTCATTAGTAATATTGCTGGGGTATATATATTAATATAGGAGCATATGCAAATATATTTCTATGTTCAGGTTGTGTTGAAAGATGATTGTAAAAGATTTTGCAGCTTTTGAGTTCAAGGAATCTAAAATAAGAAAATGCAAATTTTTTTATGCCTACCTGCTTAGGCATATACATCCTGACCAGTTTTGGATTTCATGATCCCAGACTGCCTGTCATTGCCAGGGATTAATAATGTACTATAATGAACAAATTTTTTTCCTTTATGTTTAATTCATATCAATATAACTGAATTATTGCAGCACCTTCTTTGGGGTCACACCAGGGCAGAGCAGAGGGGGACAATCCCCAGCTTCTACCTGCAGGACAGGCTTCTTTTGATGCAGCCCAGGATACAGTTAGTTTTCTGTGCTGTAAACACTTTGTTGCAGGGCTGCTCATCATTCCACTTATCACCCAGTCCGTGTTCATGTTGGGATTGCTCTGACCCAGGTGCAGAACCTTGCACTTGGCCATATTGAACTTCGTGAGGTTCCCACAGGTCACTGTCTCAAGCCTCTGTATGGCATCCCTTCACTCCAGCAAGTCAACTGCACCACACAGCTGTGTCATTAGGCTGAGGATGCATATGATACCACCCTCCATGTCACTGAAAAAAGGTGTTGAAATGTGCCAGTGCCAATAGCAACCCCTGAGGAATGATCCTTGCCACTGCTTTCCACCTGGACATCAAAATATTGATCACAACTCTGGCTACAACCACACAGCCAATTTCTTATCCACTGTGCAGTTTACCTGTCAAATCCATTCCAAAATCCATTTTGGAGAGAAGAATGTTGTGCAGCAAAATGTCAAATGTTTTACACAAGTTCAGGTAAATGATACCATTCCTTTACCCACCAACTTTATATCTGTTTTAGAAGACCACCAAATTGTCGGGTATGATGTGCCCCTAGTGAAGCCATATTTGGTGTCACAAATTACCCCCTTATTTTCCATGTGCATTTGCATAGTTCCAGGAGGATCTGCTCTGTGATCTTGTTGAGCATCAAGGTGAGACTGATCAGCCTGTAGTTTGCTAGATCTTCCTTTTTCTACCTTTTTAAAAATGGGGTTTATGTTTTCTGTTTTCCAGTCAGTGGGAATTTCACCAGTCTGCAATTACTTTTTTAACATGATGTACAGTGGATTAGCAACTAAATGTAATGGTTCCCACAGGATCTTCAATTGTGTTTCATCAGATCCCAGGGACTTGTGCACATTCAGGTTCTTTAGATAATCTTGAACAGTATTTTATTCTATGCTGTGCAATCATTAATTTTCATAGTCCCCATCATTGAATTATATATTCTTTTCTTTATATTTTTCAGTCATATGGGGCATGGGAAAGGAACTATTAATATAAAAAGTGGGGTTAGATTGGAAATAAAAATCTTTGATAGTTTCTTTTTGATTCCTGGAGGAGTTTTTGCTGTTTTTACTTTTCCCTCCCTAATTTGTAACTAATTATTTCACTTTGAGTCTTGGAAAAAATTTTTAGTTGCTCTTGGGAAACTGAAAATTTGTTGGTGCTGTTAAATGCTCTTTTTTGGGAAGAAAAAGCATTTATCTAGTGCTTCACCAGCCTTTGCATGCTTTCAGTTCCTGATGTTTGCCTATGGCTTTGTTGGCCCCACCTTGGGCCTCCGCCTGGGGGCTCCCCTGACAGGGGAAACCCTCCTGGAGCAGTTCTGTGTCAGGAAACAGAGATGCACAGGACTGTTTTGGTCTTCAGCTTCTTGTTTTATTGTTATCTTATCAAAACTTCAGCACGCTGCCTGCACCAGAACTTGCATGCAGGAAAACAGCACAAAAATGTCTAACAATCTTGTGTAACAAGGCCTTTTATGCCTAATCAAAAACTATGTTGCCCAATTAAGAAGCAATACCTAGATGGTTTTCCCTTCTAACCCAATAACTGACCCCTAAAGACCTACAATGAGGATGAGGATTTTTCTACCTAATTACAAGATATTACCTAAACCCATGAAGAAGGAAGAGGAAGGAAGAAAAAGGAACATGAGACAATACCCTCCATCTTGTTCCCATCTACAACACACTAAAAACCTCAAAACCTAAATTTCTCACCCAACTGACACACTATACTACTATCTATAATCTATTTCACACTTTTGTGGTCTCTAGTTTATTTTGAGGCTTTGGAGGCCTTTTCCATGAATGAGGGTCAAAATCAGTGCTTCCCTGGGAGTCAGAACCCCACAGGGCAGACAGAGAAATATTCCCCTTGCCCTGGGTTTCCACAGTGGCCATGATATTTTCAGTATTCTGGAGCTTAAAATTTACTCTTAACTCACGTGGACAGTTTATCTTTTTGAAATGAAATAAGACCCCCAGGTAGTATTCATTATTTTTTGGAGATTAATACCAGAAATCCTCCCCATAAAACTATTATGATTAGGATGAAGACTTTGAAAGTTATTATAATATTGCATCTGATGTTGAAGTAGTAATACTTGTAATACCCTTTTTTCACTGAGTTTTTAAGTTGCCGTGAACTACTTCTTTGACAGGCCTGATTAGCTCAGAGGAAGACATGAAAAGGGATATAAAAGATGGAGACAGAGGGAATCCACGCCAGCACTGCTGGGGAGAGAGGATACAGTGTCTATCAAAAAATGCTCCCTTGCTGTTTGGGAAGCATATGAGTAAACAGAACAGCAGTCACAAAACTCGTGGGAAAGAAAATAAAATGTTTGAAACTCCAGCACTTGTCAGTGTGAGATCCATTGATTCCAGCAGAGGTGTGGGATACAGTGGTTAGGAAGTGAGAAGCACGGAGCCATACACTGTGCTAGGAAAAATCATAACTACAGAAGAACCACAAATTCAAAGCCATTATTGTGGTTCTTCATTACTTAAGGACTCATCCTACTTCCAATAAAAAAAAATGTAAGAAATAAAACAAGTAAAGAAAATAATAGAAAATATTTTGCATCCACTGTGCAATTGTATTGTAGTGCTATATTTTAAAACTTACCATGCAATTATTTTTCTATGGTGTTTTTATTTTGGTGCTATAGTCTTCACTATGAAGCCACAAAATTTCCACTCTTTAATAATCTGGTTTCAATACAGGCATTAATTTGAAATTTTCTTTAAAATTTTAGTAAGGAATCAACTCTTTTCTGGAATAAGACTTAGTTCTTTGGAAAATACCATATCTAATAAAAGGAAAAGCAGATGAAGATTTATGGCATAGAATAGTTACTATTCTTTTCAGTCTTTTTTGAGCAGAATATTTAGACAGAATCCACAAATGCATTTTCTTTACAAAAGAGTTTTTTGATGTCCTTAAAAAAATCTTTCTAACTAATCTTTCTAATCTTGACTTTCTAACAAGATTTTAAGATGGGATTTCACAAATTTGCTGGTAATGGTACACCTTATGCTGTAAAGATAAAATCTCTGACAGCAATAATCCTTAGTGTCTAAAATCTAATGTAAAAACTCTGAAGTGATAATTTTAGCATAATTAAGATCTCAAAAAAAAAAGTCTTAAAACTGGAATTTCCTAGCTTTACCTAATGAAAGTTTTTGGTTTTGACAAAGGAATTGTGTTCAGTTGTGAATCTGGCCCCAAGCAGAGAAAGAAGTTTTATTGTATTCATTGTGTCTGTGTAGTACTGATGCATTAATATCAATATACCTGTCTAATTTGCTATTTTATTTGGTTGCATAGCAAATGACAAGTAGTTTTCAGCATTTGAATGAGGTTTTCAACACCAGACATTTTGTCTGAAGATATGTTAGATATTATCATACAGGTGTAAAACAGTAAGGCATCTTCTGGCATTCCCTGTTAAATGTACAGTTATATAATTTACCTTTAAGAATTTATTTTTTAAATTATGTTATGGCATAACAATAAAATAAGATGCTGAAATCCAGTTGCATGTACATTGAGAACAACTTTACAAAGAGGGTTTCTGAATTTCTATGCTTCACATTTCAGATACATTTTTATCTCTTGTCAGATGTTAAATATCAAAAGATAAAGGAATGGGTGTTTTATTTTTAGATTTTTTTTGCTATAGTGAATAACCTGGGACATTTCTCTGCAAATTTTAAGGAAAAGACTGACACCAGCAAGATTCTCATCTTAAATGGTGAAGAAAAATTTTAAATGAAGTGCTAATCCAATAGAGGACTTTTCCCAATACATCAACAAATATATTTTCTGAGATTATGAACATTTTGCATATAAATTCACAAAGACATGTGAACATCAGTGTATGTCCACACATGTCCACATGTGAAAAACCCAAAAAGACCCCTAATAAATCTTTTTGTACATTGTTAAATTGGCAAGAGTCCTGATTATGCCATGGATATTCTAATAATGTTGTCTTTGGTTTGGTATCTCCTACTCTGCAAGAGAGCTCAACTCTGATGAGCATGTCAATCTCTGTAGTGAATGGCTAGACAAACCTAGACCTAGACAAAAGGTTTCTAGAATGTGCAAAACTATAATAAATATATTTACAGAGCAGTGGTTCCATCACTGTATGAATTAAAATATTTTTGCCTTCCAGTTCACCAATCCAGCATCTCTGTACCACTTTTGCTTAAAGTGTAGTGCCTCTAAGGATGAAAGACCTAGGTGTTGGCCACATTTAAGTGCTTTGTAAATTTCTGACTCTACCCTTCAAACACCTTCATAATACTGCCTATGCTACAACACACATGGTTACACCCATATTACCACCTTGCAAAAGAATGTAACAGGTTATTTTTTGGTTTTGTTTTTAATATTTCTGCATCTACATTTACAAAATAGAATTCCAGAGTTTATACAAATGTCTTCAACCCACCCATATTTAAATTTGAATTAAAGTGGGTAGAGATCCAGTCAGGTTATTTACAAAATATTGATCTCATGAGATGTGCACAGATCAAACACTTCTCTTACATTAC